GGCTCTGGTTAAGTATTGGTTTGTGTTTTTCAAAATGTCTGTGATTTGTTAAGATTTATGGAAGTGATGTTTTCTGATTATTATTCACTAATAATTAGTTAATGTGGAGGGCCAAAAAAACCTTTTGTAATTTTACATTTTCTTAAGAAAAAATGGACGATTGAAGACGTGTCGGACGTACAATAAATTGTGTTGGACGTACATGTCTAAATTGTGTCGGGCGTACATATAATTGACACAAAAATATACAACTAAATTAGTAATAAATTCAACCTTTTATTCATTAGACTGACTTGGCATCTCAATAAAAAGTAATTAATAATTTTAAGTTCATAACAATCTATTGTTGAGGTGAAATGTTGATTTTTTGTGAAAATATAAAAATACACTGCAAATCTCCAAATATACGGTAAACCCTACCTAATCCCTTTGATTAAGACTACAGTATATCATGTGGTATGGACTGACTTGATATCTCAATCAAAAAACAAACAGAATATGATGTTCAAGATTTTTTTTTTTTTTTTTTGGAGAGGGGCCAAGGGGTAAAATTGGCCTTTTTACCCCAAAAATAGGTTGTACAACATAAAATTATTATCTTTTTTTTTTATTGAGATACCAAGTAAATCTACTGTAATACTACATGATTCAATCACTATCAAGAAATTTGGATGGTTTTTAGTGGTGTTTTTAATATCACTGTACACGACATCACACCTTTTCTAACTGTTACGTGAACATAACAAAAAAGGTCTATGATGATGCATACAACTACTATAACTTTAAACATGTTTTTTTTTTATGCTCAATACATGTAACAACACTCCACACAACCTCCACTCACTAACAGCACTTTAACATTGCCAGCTATTGTCAAGTGGGCTATTGCATCATTGATGCTCTTGTTTTGTTTTTTTTTTCAATTTTAAGAATTATTTTTTCAATTTTAAGACATTTTAATTTTGTACAAATGAACATTCTAAATAATTTTTTTTTTTTATTCTATACACAAATAACATCCTAATTATTATTATTAGCTTTCCAAAAAAACCCAATATAAGCGCTGTAACTGTATTTAAACGTGGAGGAACGCGCGAACCGGTGAACGGTCGCTCTTGTTTAAAGGAAAGTCCAAAGGGGGTGGGGTGTCAAAGGGACATGGTGGTTGATTTGAGCAGGAATGACGCTTGAATGAAAAATTACTGTACTATTATGTTTAAAATATTTTTGATGTATTGCACATTAATATTGGGACAACTAAAATTGTCTTCAAGACAAGTGAATTTTTCAAAGGTACAGTACAAGAGAGAACAAGTGAAAAAATGCGGAATTCCTTTTTGCAACAAGTCAAGCTTAAAATACAATTTCCAGAAACAAATTAAAAGATTTTTAACATCCAGAGAAAAAATACACTGTGGGGAGGCTATGCTTTTACTGCTTTAGTGTAAAGGAGTAATATTCTATCTAGTTCATCTAATTTCAATGTACTATGAATCTTGTTTTTAATATCAGTTGGTACTGTACGACATCTGACCCGACCAACGACTATGAGTATGGAAACAGTGCTACCATCTGGGCAAGTTTACATGGATGCTGAGGCATATGAACCACCCATGTACAACGATGCCTTTCCACCATTGCAGCCAGCCAGTCCAACAGAAAATTGTCAACCAGCAATGCCTAATCCTGGGCCTAGCTACTCTAGCATGGCAGTCAAGTCTTCCACTGTTACTCAGGTATGAACTTTTTAGAATTTTTTAATGCTGTAAATGCCTTTATTTTTGCGCACCCTTAAGTTTTGCGATAAAACAGCAATCGTGAACTATTAAGGGCAAGCAAAAATCGCGAAAATTTTGAATGATATTCCCTCAATAAAGATTTCGTGAAAATATACTTGATTCTTTGTGTATTGTTTTTCAATCATTCAATCACTTTCATAAAGTTAAACACTGTGGTTTGGATAAGGTTCTACAGATACAGCATAGAATTGTGTTGTGGTTTAATAAAAGCAAACTTATACTTAACAGGATAATCCTTTTGACTATTTGTGTACAGTATGGTGTAGTGAAACCATTGTTGGCTCCGACCCATAGTTAATGTAGGGGCCCCCCCTCCGGACAGATCCGAGCCCCCCCTCCCCAAATCAAACAGCTCATCGGGCAGTTGGACTAAAACAAGTATAAGATAGGCCCACGCGAAGCCAACACATGTCCGTCACAGTCTATGTGTCATTTCTGGCCATCCAGAGGTTCCTTAAAAAAATTTGGAAGGGGAACACCCTCACAAAATCTTCCACAAGCTCCAGCCTATGTGCTCTATTCGCCCTGTCGGACAGATTAATGACATTTCTACCACCATTGCGCGCATAGGCCTCGACCTAGGCCTAAGCATAGGTAGTCCTCCATGGATAAACAGAAGCTCGGAAGTCGTTATGTACCCAACGGTTGGCTGCCTTTAGGTCTACTTTGTCGCCAGTTTGCAGCTAGAGTACCAATACAATAACACAAATAAACTTTGCATGGCTATGGATTGGCGAAAAATAGATCTTGACCGAAAAAAAAAATGATGTATTTTAGCAAGTATATGTAAGTTTTAAATTTACTTTACTTACGTTTGCCTCTCTCCACCCATGAGTATAAATGAGTACCTGGTAGGATGGTATGGCATTCAATATATGGGTTGTGCGCATTCAAGCAGCAATGACCACGGATACTCCCCAGGGAGTAGAGAAAGTTGCACAATGTGCAGATCTGCCAATTCAGTATCCAGTGACCAATGAAATATGGTGCCAGCGCCTTGTATAATCGCCTGCAGATTGTGAAAGGCGCTATATAAATTCCAAAAAAATGTTCACATCATTCCGACGACGACGGGGGCTGAAATGAACCATGTAACATCGGGGTAACCCCCTACTTTTCCGAAAGATGCAGTGGGTTCTTTAAAGTGCACACAAGCCAGATGTATAATACACTGGACCTCCATTTTAACATTTTAAGTTCTCATCCGAGAAGACTTGGTTCTACCAAACGAACCATGGGCGAGGAGCAGATGGAACCAGCGCATGGGTGGCACCAGCGGAGGGAGGGGCAGGGGGTGCATGTAGGCTAGCCTACTGTAGGCCCTGTAGTTAGTAGGTCTCATCATCTAGGCCTAGGCTTAATAGTAGTAGGCTAGCCTAATTTCTGTGGTGAGTGAGTGATTTGAGACCTGAACATTCAACAGCTGCGTTAGTGAATATTAAAATACCGACTTGCATCTCCCTGTTATACTGTAAACAGAGTCGATTTTACAGCACAGCAATTTTTTAGTACATAAGAAATCAACATATTACGTATGATCAATTCATGTATTTTGAGTCCTCTTTGGTATTTGTTTTTGTAATTGAACATTGTTTCACTTCAAGTTTCATAAACAAATTTTAGGGAAAGATATTTTTTTTCCCTAAATATGCTACTATTTAGTCTGAAATTATTAAAAAATAAAATTAATAATTTTAATTTTATAATTAATGGTTATGAATAATTAAAAAAAAAAATTTAAAATACCTAGTCAACAGCCAGAATAAAAACATTCATCTCCACATCAGCACAAATTATTCCTAATAAAACTAAATTAGAATTTATTGATCAAGAACTTTGGAAGAAAAAAACTAATATAAAATTTCACCCCAAGGGGGGCCTAGCCAATTCCCCTAGGTCTATGAGCCGCTTCAGTCACCTTCTCCACACTGCAGAGTCTAGCGTGATAAAATTAACTTACTTCGCGACTAAAAATCCATAAATAATTATATCCGCCTAGTGCCTGTTTAAAGTAGTGCTAAAACCGCACCTTATTATCTTCCAAAAATCCAGTTGGTGTAAAAAAAAAATTATGAAAAAATATGAATTATTACGATAATATAGTATTATGACCCATCATTTTGTTTCCTATGCTGTCACCGATCTCAGCGTGGCGATTGCTCGGGTCACCGGAAAACAGGAAGTTCAGGAGTTCAATGGTCATGTCGGAGTTTGTTTTCATTTTTTGTAAACAACCAAAATTGCACAATCAGAATTGAAATCCACATTGTTTTTTTCAGCCACAAAAAATTAATTTTACGTGGAAATATGTGGATGTAATTAATCAAAACGGGTATAGTATGTATGTTGAATGTATATTGTCTGAAAGTGTCAGAATAGTTACTTTTTGAAAATAGTGTCTTTTTAGATGATTTAAATCATCAGTGTTGATGGCAGCACCTTCCTGTTCAAGGGGATTATATTACAAAAACAACAATCATATTTCATATTTTTAATTACTCAAATTCAAAATCATTCAAATTAAATAGAAATTTGCAATAAGAAACATTTTTTAATAACATTTTTTGATATTTTCTCGAACATTTAGTGAAAATACATGGACACAATACTGCACATACTGTATGGTTTTTAAATAATTTTTGTTAATTATTTAATTAATAAATTACGATAATTTGCAAGTGCTTCAAGCGCTTCTGTAAGTGAAAGGGTTAATATCCATCTAAGCTACATAGATTTTGAAATTGCTTGGCCATAAGGCAAAAAATTGGTTAGATTATCACTCCCGCCCGCGTCAAAAATCAAAATATTGATGCGGGAGTAAAAATAGAATTTTTTTTTTATTGCTGCATTATTTATTTTAACGGCTTAAAAAACAATGCAATTTTGTGACTGGAAATACATTTTCTTTAAAAAACAATAAAATTAAACCAGTTTTTATACAATATTTACAATATTCTTGCCAAATAAAAACAGTCCCCTCCTCATCAATTAAATAAAAGCAATAAACCACCTGCCCTTATCACTTAAAAAAAAAAAAAAGAGTGATAATCTTAATAATTTTTTCTATGTGCCCTAATCAACTTCCAAATTTAATTGTCGCTATCAATATTTTGAAAGTTGTTACCAAAAAAGTAAAGTCAAGCCCTGAAAATATGTACAATTTGAGGATAGGGAGTTAATTAACAACTTGGTACAATTTGGTAAACTTTATTGGGCCTACATTTGCTTTGATTTGTAAGATTTTGAGTTGAAAAAAACCCTCTTGGCCAAGCCTTTACAGACTGCAGTAGGCCTATTTATGGTAGCCAGCCTCAAAAGGGGGGGGGGAGGGAGGTAGTGGTAGGAGATTGCTCGAAAAATATGGAAAAATCAGGAGCTCTAGCTTTAATATGCTTCTGAATCATGTTAAAAATTGGCTGGAAATTGTAAAATTGCAAAAATAAAGGGCTTTACAGTAGGTAATCTACCCATCATTCATAAAAAAAACAATAAACATGTTAATTTCAAATTGTGTCTAAATTTGAATGTTATTCTTTGTACACTATGTTGAATTAGACCAGTGCATAACACGTACAGTAGTACAGTCTTCTGGTATTTAATCTTAGCTTATCTTAAAAGAAGTAAATCTAGCTTACCTTGGTATTTTAGGTATTCCATGTGCCTTTGGAAGAGCGGAAGTACAAGGAGATGAACCAGGGTTTTGGAGAAACTGGCAGTCAGTCTAGTAATATCTGCCAAATGATTATGAACAAAACTGGTGAGTATATTGTGCAGACTAAAAGTATTATTAACATTTGTTCTGTAATAAATATACTTGTATTGTTCCTAATTCATGAATACTCAGCTTGGCAGGCAGAAAAAAACATTTATTTTTCCCAAAATCTGGAAGCTACATAAATGAAATTCAGATATGACTCCCAACTTCATGTGATCTCCCTATTTACTTAAACATTCTAAAAAGGCCTTCATATGACAAAAGAAAATTTGCTTCAAATTTTAAGCAGTTTTAGGTTACAGCCTTTCAGAATGTAGATGTCATGTCCCCATTTTTTCATAGGTATTCTTTTTTTGGTAAGTACAGTATTCGACCGAGCTAGTATACTACCAAAATATTTCTAAATTCTGCAATTTACGTACACTTTCTGGTCTTCTGATATCCAGTAAAAACATTTTACTGTAAGTCGAAGCTGGGAGGACTAGGTTCTCTTCCCAGCTGAATTTAGCCCAGTAATGCGTGTTAAAAATACAAGTATTAGCTGGATAATCTACAGTAATACAATGATTTGCTGCTGATATTCAAATTTTGGGCCTAATTTTTATACAGTCAGATGTTTAGAAATAATATGGTTTTAAAAATTTTACTTGCTCATAATAATAATAATATAATAATAATTCTGGATAATAATAATAATCTAGGATCTGGCTAAAATTTGTATGCACTAAACTTAAGAGAGAATATTTCAGCTGAAAATTGATCCCCTCATCGTATATGTTCATTTATAATACAAAAAAAACCTTATGCAGTATGTTCAGATTGCGCAGTGGTCATTTTCAAGCTTTTCTTCCTGGATACAGATTTTGGCACACATCTCAAGTTGATCCTTGGATTCATATTAGCCTATAACAGTTAAGATATTCTCTCATAAATTAAGTGCTTTCAAATCTTGCTCAGGTCCTCTACAAAGACAATTTATAATGTTTATCACTCAGTGTTATTCAGTCAAAAGGAACTAAAATTTGTTTATTGTTTTTTTGTTAATGGTGAAGGTGCTTCGATAGAAATGAGTTTGGCAAAGGATAGAAGTATGACAATTGTTGTTACTGGCAAATCAGATGCTGTAAGAAGGGCTCGCAGGGAACTCATTGCTAAACTACAGACCCAGGTACTTTCATTTATAGGCATACACATTCAAGTGAAATACATATCTATATTATAAAAATAATTAGGCTTATTTCAAAGGCTATAAGCATAAAGGACTCAAGGATCTCGAAAATTGCTGGTCTGGAAAACTGTAACAAAATAGATATCGAAGTGTCCATCACAAAGTGAATATAATTCCATATTTCAGCTTGAGGGAAAAATAATGAATTAACTGTTTTTATTCATTGGCTTTTTAGTTGTTTTGAGCACATGGCATTGTTTACGCATGGAGGTATAATAGTTTACTTAACATACTTTAGCATTTCCTTTTGTAGTTTCATATATGGAACACCAAACGTTCACAAATTATAAATGTTTGCTGCAAGGGTGGTGTTGTTTTTTGGTTAGATAGAAAATGTAAGCCGTACGTGATAAAACATATACTCCCTACCACCAATTTTGAGTCATTTTTTAGACCAAATCTTGATTTGCGCATGCGTCGGGAAAAAGTTTGCCGACATTTTGTTTTCATTGCATTTTAGGTTTCTATTTCAGCATGATTGTTAAATTAATTATTTTTTTATCCAACTTTACATTGTTTGTATTGATGCAACATAGGCAAGTTCACAATTGGCCATTCCGAAAGATCATCATCGTTATATCATTGGACGTAATGGTGCAAAGCTAAAAGAACTTGAGTTGGCAACGGCAACTAAGATCACTATTCCAAATTCAGACGAAAATGCTGACTACATCAAGATTATTGGAACCAAGGAAGGCATTGACAAAGCTTGCCATGAAATACAACTTATATCTGATGAGCAGGTGATTACTGGTTGTAAACATAGTAGACTCTTTCTCTTCTGATTTTAGGGCGAACTCCAACTTAAGGCTTTTGCCCTATTGCCCATTTTTTATCTGCGCTTATAAAATTATATACATACTTTTTTATTCTTATTTAAACTTACATTTTATTAATATTTTTTACTTAATCAAAAAATGTTGAAATTTAGAAATTAAAGGAGACATTCAGAAATCATTGTTTTCATTTTTATTATCAATATGCATTATTGCTCTAATTGATTCAGTATGTAATATCAAATTATTAATATGAGATTTAATAACGGTTTTAGACAATGGTACTTAATAAAATAATTCAAACTTGTTTTGTTTATTGAAGGCTAAGCTTGCATTTGAAATTCTCAATATACCTTGCCACTTCCACCCTTTTATTTGTGGAGCTGAGAACAAGAATCTAAAGTTGATTATGGAACAGACTGGAGCTAAGATTAATGTTCCACCGCCAACTATTCATAAAGATGAAATTGCTGTATCTGGTGAGAAAGATGGTGTGAGGAATGCTGTAATGAAAATCAAGTTAATCTATGAGGAAAAGGTATTAATTTTGTTTGTTGCTTTTAAGCATACAATTACAATACATAACTCCATAACAGTGTATTATGTTTTTGTTTTTTGTGACTGGAAAATGTTCTTAAAAGACTAACCTGTGATAATACATTCATATGAGTTTTGCATCACGGCCCTGCCCCTGTATACGTGGCTGCCTGTGTTGATCATTGTTTGCAGATCATTTGTTCATCTCAAGTTGTGTTTCTGGTCATAATCAATACATATTTTGTCTACAGAAACGCAAGACCACAACTGTATCTCTTGAAGTACGCAAGTCTCAGCATAAGTATGTAATTGGCCCTCGTGGTTCCACAATTCAGGAAATTCTAGCTTCTACTGGAGTGTCTGTAGAATTGCCACCATCAGAAGATCCATCAGAAACCATCACATTAAGAGGTGAACAGGACAAACTTGGACCTGCAATTACACAAGTCTATGCTAAGGTATGCATCTTTTTTACCAGGTAATATTTATCAAATGCTAATCCAAGACAACAGTTGGTAGCAGTAGTTACAACTATGCATGGGAAAGTTGCGGGACAAACTAAATTTGAAGGAGCAGGACAGTGCTAATAAATGGATGCCAAATGAAAATGAAGTTACTAATTGTCAAGTACCGTACTTGCGCGAATAAACGCCCTGTTTGAATAAGCGCTCCTCTTGAATAAGCACCCCTCAATTTTGAATGAACGCCCCAAATTCCTAAGAAAATTCAATCATATAGTACAGAACAGGACATCACCAACTTAATTTTCTGCATCAACTATTCGCATCTATCTTAGCATTGTTGGTCGGTCAGTCCCTCTATCCATCTGCTGTCGGTCTATCAGTCTCCGTTAGGTTTAACATGGTTTTCAATTTTGATGCATCTTTAGAATCCTGTTCTTGTATGTTGCTACTCTTTTTTGGATTGAAAACTATAATATTTAATATCTAAAAATTAAAATACTGTATGGCCATTTTCAGTCAACAAAAATAAACTGACCTCATCACTCTCGTATCTAAGCAATGATCCTGGTAATCTGAATTGGTAGATAGCCAACACGCTTACCACCAACACCAACTCCACCACTAGTTTCATCTGCTGTTGTGTAAATACCCCTAACATTCTTGTCATGAGCCATGCTCTGTCAATGATTACCTTTTGTTTACCAAAGCCATCGTTTATCTTCGATTAAAAAAAAAAGTTCTCAAAGAATTTCATCCGACTTCAACAATAGTAAATGGAGTTGTAGTTCTTTAAAGATAAGCCAATTGTAAAAAACGGAACTTACCAGCTACGTTTCGGCTAGCATCGGTAGCCTTGATCACGCGAATGACGCCTTGTTGTTACAGTGACGTCGTTCATGCTTCGGTGTGATCTTGCATGTAAGTTCTTACGTCAGCTTTTCTTCTTAAGTCAGCTTTTCGCTGCTTCCCCCTCTTGTTGCCAGCTCTACTGTTGGCCTTCGTAGTAAATCATCGTATATGTGGCTGAGTTCATGTCCTCCTTGATCCAGATTAATGTTGTTGCTTGTTTTGCGTATCCATAGTGATTCTTTGATTTTTCTAGCTATCGTGTGTGGTTCTTTATCTAATATCTTTGTGTTGCCCCAGTTTGGAATATGATTTTCAGCAATGACATGACCTGTAATCGCTGATTTGTGGGTGATAGTAGACCGAGTTCCTTGATGCTCTGGTTCTAATGCCTGGTGTAAAAAAAAAATGCGTCTTGAATTTTGCAATTTCCTATAAGCACCCATTTAATTTTCATCTATTTCCATAAGCGCCCCCTCAATTTCCACTCTGTTTGAATAAGCGCCCTGTTTGAATAAGCACCTCCCAAAAAAGAGCCAAAAATATTTTAATCGCCCTGGCGCTTATTCGCGTGAGTACGGTAGGTATCCCATTGAAGCCTTTTTGTGTTACCACAGTCTGGCAATGTTCGCAAACTTCAATAAAATGACACGAGTTTGATGTTAAAAAAATAATATCAATCGTGAATGTATGCCAATTAAAATTCTATATCTTGAAAGAACATAGTTTATTCTTTACTTGCATATATTTTTTAATGATATTGATAAAATATTGCAGAGAAAACACGATTTTAAGATGAGGTGTAAAAGCCAGTGAGCCGATAAAGATAGTGGAGTAATATCTTTAGTATGTTATTAGGCTATGTAGAGCTTTATTTTGATGTACAATTCACTTGGTATTAATGTGTTCTTCTGCCGCAAAAATAAATTTTAGTGATAAAAATTGTATTTTGAAACGTCCGTAATCAAAATCTACCGTATTTTGCATTAAACGAAAGCTAAATCATATTTACATTTGATAAAACAACGTTTATTAATTGAATTTGCATGGATTTCATGCTAACTAAGATTCTGTATGTCAATATTCGGGGGAACCCCCGAAGGGGACAGGAAAGGCTGAACCATTGTCTATTTAGTGAAGCACTCTCCTACAATGCATCTATAATCCACTGATCTTTACCATATAATCGCGATAAAATAATATTATACCTTATATTAGGTCCAATTCAAGATGTTTTTAGCCAGTTCCATGCTATTACCAGCCTCATGCACAGGGTGGATAGAGAGAAAGTTTTGGGTAGGGGTCATGCAATGTGTGAGGTGCTGAGCTGAGTTGGGTGGTGTTAAAAATGCTTGACCAAAGACACGGGAGTGTACATGGAATTTAAATAACAAATTAGCCTGGTTTAGAGTGCCCTGCTCTCCTCTTTTTATTAAAAAGTTTTACAATGCTTTCTGCTTAAAGCCCTCTGTGACATTCCTGGCCACCCTCTTTATTCTTTTCTCCACCTGCCCGTTCTTTGAAGTTTAGAGGATTGGTGAAGGATATACAGGTACTAAATTTCACTTCCGATTTTATTATAATCACTTCCACTGGTTTTTCGTGGAATCTTGTCTCTCTATGCTGGAATCAGTCTCTCTCTGCAATACTGAACTCATGATTGCTGGCGATTTCAACTTTCGTGTTGACAACAAAGATGACGGATTCTAGTGCATTTCTCGAGATTCTGAGCTCTGCACTGCACATAACCACATCCAAACAGAAGAAAGGTCTCACACACTTGACCTTCTCATTTCTTGCAGGACCAGTCATCTTATTTCCTCGACTAAAACACATTTTGACCTTCCTTCCTGAGAAGGTGGTTCAAGACTAAACTCGCTATACACAAGGATTTGTTTGACGTAGCCTGCAGATAGCATTACTTACAAAATACCATGAAAAAATCTTAGATTGTCTAATTAAGAGCAATTTGTTTAAACTTATGCACTTGTCAATTGTAATCTCCCCCCCCCCCCATACCCAGGACATAGCGGGGCATTAGCCGGGACTGAGCCAGGGATGTACACATAGTTGTGTTGCGGTAGTGCCGGATGTATCTAAAATTTACCCTTGGATATAACAGGCCTCGGAAGGGCTTAGAATTTTACACGTTTCGGTTGTATAGGCCTAGGGGCCTAGTGCTGTCAAACCAGGTCTGGTCCTACCTACAGTAGTCTAGGTATTAAGTCGGCAATTACTGTGTGTTTTAATAATTAAAAAATTGCCTACTGGTACTTTAGGCCTAACATAATGATTTTATTTTATATAGATCACAGTATAAATTACATAATAAAATTTGAACCTCCAACCTCACAACGTGGCGGCGCGTGTGAGTGTGTTGCATGAAAATTTTTGAACCGTGAATTTGACTTAGTTTGCGTCAGAAAGTACGCCAGTACATGAGCCTCGGCAAGGAAATTTGTTTCTCCTACATGTATTCATTTTTTTATTTAGGCCTAATTTCTGTTTTGATATTGAATAATTAAATTCTGTCAATCATATTCACACTGTTAAGATGGCTACTTTAAGTTGTGTACAAGTTTCATCCTTTATTATTATATACCTTTATCAGGTCAAAAAAACAATCAAGATGAATAATTGTTTTATCATAGGCCAACAGTGTTATAATTGAAGAGGTACATGCTCCATCCTGGCTTCATCGTTTTATCATTGGACGCAAAGGCAAGAACATCAAAGAAATTACACAGAACCTACCTAAGGTACACATAGAGTTTCAAGATGGTCGTGAGGCTATTATTGTGGAGGGACCACCAGAGGAAGTAGAGCAGGCTCGCAAAGCATTAGATGATATCTCCAAAGATCTTCAAAGCCGTTTTGATTTTGCTAATGTTGAAATCAATCAAAAATTTCACAAACACATCATTGGAAAGAATGGTGTTAACGGTAGGTAACAAATGTGACTTTCATCAAATTTTGTTCTGTATTTGCTTCTACTTGATCATTGTTCAAATATTTTAATTAATTTGTTTGCAATTTAGTAGTGAAATCGAATAGATTTTAATAGTTAAGACACTAAGCTACGGAAGCTTAAAGCAGGGTTCGTACGCGTCCTTAAATTCCTTGATTGATCTGGAAAAACAAATGAGCATTTTCCAGTACTGGAAAGTCCTGAAAATTTAAGATTGTCCTTGAATGTCCTGGAAAACATTTACCATTAATTGCAGTACTACAAGTTGCCTAGTAACAGTAAATTGAATGAGAAACGTTCCCACAAGTAGGTTCCCACAATACTCTTGAGAGAATCAGGTCAAGTCTTTGTACGCCGCCAATTCAGGAATGTTGTCAAAGACAGAAAGAATGTCATTGCTGAAAATGGCCGACAGGTTGGTTCAGACAAACTTGTGCGATTCAGTGAGTGGAGTTGTTCGTCAATGTTTTAGTAAAAGCGGTACTTTTTTAAAATCTTGTATATGTTGCATTTCACTTTAATTTAGACATTGATAATAATTATCGTTAACTTTCTTGACATCTGCTATGGTGTTATTTGCTTTCTGTCGTGTGTTTTAAACAGTACTGAAATACTAAACTTCCAATCAGTTGAACAAGTCTTTTTTGCACGTGCTCAGCCCGGTGAATTCGCTTTGGGTAATTCATCACTCTCCAGTCGTGCACACTTGTTCAGCACGAATGGCCATGTTTTGGCCCTATCCAGCGCAAGGCAGTTAATTAACAATTAAAGTAACCATGGGAACGTGTACTTCTGCAGTTATTTTCTTAGTGAATGGTCTTGAAATGGCATTTACTGTTAGAAGTTCCTGAATTTAGGGCAAGATATTTCGTTAATTATGTTTCTGAAGTTTACAAAATCATTGAAAAACAATGCTGGTCGGTAGCAGATCAGTGCCGGTAGGATGGTGCCATACGTTAACATTTTGCTGTAGAGTAGATTATAAAAGTTGTAGGCCTCCAACTAAGGTCTAATAATAATAGACCTAAATATTAATAATGTTAAGCCCAATAGTAACGAATAATAATAATAAATAATACAGTATAGTATAATGATGTGTTTAGAATAGAGAATAACCATTAAATTAATTAATAATATAGTACATTATTCGTTTATCCAACATTTATAAACACCTAAATATATATGAAATGAGATGCATTAACGTCTTCGCAACATACACCCATCAAGGCTTTATTGTTTTAATGTATGTACATGTCAACCTCGCCACAGCTGTTCGCTGAAGAACCACCCTACTGTATATCCTTACTCGTGGGAATTCCTTTGCTTACAATAAAATTTTACACGTGTGAGAAAAACCTAATTTCCCACGAGCGTGAGAAAAAGAGGCAGGTCCATCGCCTCCGAATTAGAGTTTGATAAAACTTAATATACACTCAACTAACATGCATTTAAAAGTAGTACAGCATGTCTTATAATCAGTCGTAAAATCGCCAATATTTTACTGTTAAGCTATATATTGTGTCCTTGAAAGTTGGAAAATTTGACCTTGAATGTCCTGGAATTATCCTGGAAATTTGCTTGTTTAAAAACGTCCGAACCCTGTTAAAGTGACCTTCCGAGTTTCCAAGATAATTATCTTGGAAACATGGAATAAACACTTATTAAGACGCCTTTCCAAGATAATTTATCTCGGAAAGATGCCTTTCCGAGATAATTGATCTTGGAAAGAAGTCTTTCCGAGATAATTGATCTTGGAAAGATGGAATTCAAAGATAAGTATCTTAGAAAGACAGAATTCCAAGATAACGTATCTTTGAAAGATGGAATTCCAAGATAACGTATCTTGGAAAGACGGAATTCCAAGATAACGTATCTTGGAAAGACAGAATTCCAAGATAATTGAACTTGGAAAGACAATTCGAAGATAAGTATCTTAGAAAGACGGAATTCCAAGATAACGTATCTTGGAAAGACAGAATTCCAAGATAACGTATCTTGGAAAGATGGAATTCCAAGAAAATTGATCTTGGAAAGACGGAATTCGAAGATAAAGTATCTTAGAAAAGACGGAATTCCAAGATAACTTATCTTGGAAAAACGGAATTCCAAAATAAATTATCTTGGAAAGACGTCTTTCCAAGATACGTTATCTTGGAAAGACGGAATTCTAAGATACATTTTGAGGATATTTCCCGCACGATTAAAATCGTAACGGTACTGGGTTAGGTCTTCAGGATTTCGTATTTCATACAGGTCATGTCGTTAGCCATAGTAGCCTAGGTCAATACTAACTCCGGTTATATAAAATTGATTATAAGATTGAAAAATAATAATCTTATTATTGTAGTAGTGATACTATGTACACATTTTAATTATTGTTATTTATTCGTTAGCATCATTATATTTACATTTAAATTTCCCATGTTAAAATAATCTTATCAAAATTGTATAATTAAATAATATAGTAATAGGCAAGCCGAGGTATAGCCTAGACTAGGCCTAAACAATTGACTATATGTGAGTGTATAAAATTATGAAAAATATGATTAAAACGCAAAATTGTGAAAGAATAAAGAAGAATAGGAAAGAGATTTGGAGCGGCTGAAATATTTTCCGAAAATATTCAATAGTAGTCAATATGCTATTATTGCATTACGTTTTTGTAAACAAATTTGGGCACTGATCGTCAGAGGTCTCGGTGCCACAGCTAATAACAACAATAAGTGATTAAATAACGAGATTAATTTTTATACATTAAAAATTAACGTAGGCCTATTTTTCATGCGTTTTAATAAGTAGATGTTGATGCGTACATACAGAACAATGCGTGAAAATATAGAACAACACACAATGAAATACAACATATTCACTCACAACTTTGAACTTGAACAAATTGAATATAGCCCTATTCATTGGTAAGTCACAGATAGCTCAACTTTCCTTACTACAGCTTTCAGGCTATCTTTGAATTTTGAATTTCCTCTCCTCGATATTATCTTAGAATTCCGTCTTTTCAAGATTAAAGTATCTTGGATTTCCGTCTTTACAAGATAAATTATCTTGGAATTCCGTCTTTCCAAGATAACATAACTTGGAATTCTGTCGTTCCAAGATAATTTATCTTGGAAAGAAGGAATTCCAAGATAAATTATCTCGAAATTCCGCCTTTCCAAGATAAAGTATCTTGGAAAGACGTCTTTCCAAGATAACTGTAGACCAACACTGGTAGCTACTACTAGGCCTAGCCTAGTACTACTCTTTCGAGGCTGTGTGTTTTCGAGGCTGTGTGTTTTCGAGGCTGTGTGTTTTCGAGGCTGTGTGAGATGTGTGAAGCAAAGTAAACTGGTCATCCTAGCCAAGATAGCTTAATGTTTTCAGAATAGGAATATGACGTTTATGATATATATAATACTGTATTTAACTTTTTAAATGTGATTGAATGATTGGAAAACAATACACAAAAGAACAAGAATGTTTACATCTATATTGAGGAAATGTCTGTTACAGCCTAGCTATAGATTTGCTTTTGAAAACAAAACTATCATCCAGAATTTCACGATTTTCATATCGCAAAAGTCACAAAAAGAATAATTAAGGGCATGCAAAATTAGTGGGCTTTACAATATGCTTCATGAATTCAATTTTAAATGAGATTATTTATAAAAAATAGAATACCAGAACATATTTTCACAAAATTGGACAGCCATTCTTGCTGTGGACTATCCTATAACTTCATGAAATATCCTGGAGGGAACATTGTAATTTAAAGGCATTGTAAACACTTAATATCGCTATTATGACTACAACAAGACAGTCATGTTGACAGTATTACTACTGAGTTACAGAAGGAAAGTCAATTGAAAACAGAACTATTTGGCATTTGAATTAATGTCGACAATTTCATTTAATTTGATTTATTAAAATCTTCACCTTGAACAAGAATTTTTTCCTATAAAAAAGACGCCACAACATCTTTAACTTATTACTGGTTTGTATTTCCAAACTAAATAAATCTACATATTCTTGAGGATGACCCACTATCTTCAATGCATTTCTATTATGGTATGAGACATCAACATAAAAATAATAGCCTACAGGTAGAGGTCACGTGATTAAAATATGACATGTTATACATTATGGCCCTGTCACACCTTGACGATTTAGCCAGCGTATGCCGTCGTATGAAAAAATTGGCGATTATGCTACGTCAAATGAGTTATTGGTAAGTTTTGTATAAGTTGAGCACACTGAAGCTCACTGGTATATGTCCTATTACGGCAAGTACGTCAAAAAGTTTCTACAAATGCCAGCGTATAGCTCGTACATTTCATATACGCGGGCCATAAGTTGTAGATAAGTTAAGCGATTGTTGAAACACGTTACTTGCAAGTTGCTCAAAAGTCGAAATACGTAGAGATAATTTCTAGCTTATTAAAAACATTTCTAACCTATGAGTAACGTGCTTCGAACTTATATGTAACTTTTATTGACGTATATATACATATTTGACATGTTCCAGACGACCACAAACTTACTGAACGTGTTTCTAACTTACAGTTATCGTATAATGGCGTATTGGCAGCGTTTAGGGGAATGTGTATATTAAAATATGATGATGTCGATACAGTGATTTTTATACTGTGATGTCTAGTGCAGTTATGTTTTAAATCGATGAGCAGCAGCCTTTTTATATGCTACGTTATGTGATCGTGTTCATGATGTAGACTATCGTTTGGCGGAAGTTGTGAACGCCGGCAACACGCTAAGCATTCGTTGGTATACGTTTTGCATAAGTTACCTAAACGTTCTATATACAGTACTGATCACTGAACGTTTGACATAGACACGCGTGGGCCACTCATTATTTAAACAAAAAGTGCTGAAACATAAAAAATAATTATTGCTCAATAAAATAAATTTATTCATTATCAAAAAATGCAAATTGCTTCATGGGCATATTTTGAATCATAATCCCAGATGTCATAAGCACTGTAGAATGTTTCTGTAGAGAACAAAAATAACAAAACAATTAAGTACATTATGGTATTTAAGGAAATTTTATTTGAGACATATTTTACCACGTCTGAAACAACAAAAAAACCTGATTATTCATTCATATTACTTAAATAATGATGAGACGGTCGTTTTAATTGACTTTACGAATGATTAATTATATTATTCCTTAATAATATACAAATTACTTCTATTTCGACATACTGTCCTATTTAATATCCCAAACCAAATCTGGTAGTACAGTACCACAACTCAAAATACTAGAAAATTACAAAAAGCGTTCAATTATGATTAATTATAATGATAAGATGGTCGTTATAATTTTGAACCTTACGGAATGTTATTTACAAAAATTATATTTAAAATATTGTTACAATTACCTTTATTTGTAGACGTATTTAAAAAAATCTGGTACCCTACCACGCATGAAACATGAAAATAATAATGAGACGGTCGTTTTATTTAGATACAAATATTATTTATATGAATAATAAATAATATTTAGAATATCGGCGGAGAGTGACGTATTTGAAATATTCTAAACATGAATGTGTTGCCTGCTACGTCTGAAACACAAACAGTTACATAAATAATAATAAAACGATAGTATTATTTGGAAATATTACAAACTTAAGATGAGTTTAGATGATTTTCAAATGAAAATTAACTATGTATTCAATTACTGTACTGCACTTCTATTCAGAACTCTATTAGTCAACCACGCCTGAAACACCTCCGTACTAATAACAATAGAGACAAAAGAGTATATTCAGATTACGTGACAGTGCTCAAGGAAAAGTTGTAGCAGAACTCTAGTAAAAGATTGTGAATAACAACTTTACAAGCCCATGTGACCGTTTGGACCGCAAGTTCCGATTTTTACCAGGAAGTGTATGCTGAGTAAAATCATTCAAGTGTTAATTGAAGAACTCGTGGAATAATGCCACTCTCTTTTCACTCCTGAAAAAATACGCCCAATACACGCGAGTAATGTCGAACGTTCGATAATCAGTACTGTAAGTTACTAATACGTTGTGTATACTTCGAATACGTTATGAATTCGTTATGTATGCGCCAAAAATGGACAAAAAAAATATATATAGACAATTTTCTTTATTAATTGTGCCTTCCATTTTGTCAAAATGAATGTTTTTTCCCCTCACCCTCCTCAGTTTTTCCTTTAAATCTTGGTGAAATTCTATGGTTTATCATAAATTGACCTCCGCTAGAGGGTGGCAGACTGGTCTAGAACTCTGACACAAGTATGCTTAATATCAAGGGTCAACTTATGTGCCATTACCGTTTGAGCGCGCGTCATGACATGCGCGTACGGGGGCGTTTATTTTTAAATTCTCAAGATCACTTTTTGATCAAATTGAGCAAGTTTCAGGCCATTTTGGGCATTTAAAAATTTTCTTGCTGAGGAAAACTATTGGATCCTGCGTATCACATAAAATCCGTTGACGAATTTCAATCTAGTTGTTTTTAAATGTTATTAATTATAATATTATATTTTATTTTGTTTTATTGTATTCACTTTTTAAAAATATATTTTATTATTTTTATTATTCTTTATTATCTTGAGTTGCACATGCTCAATTGTTGAATTAAAAAAGTTTGATTTTTCTCATTTCTATTAACATACCCTCTTCGCAGACGCTGTTTGGTAGTTGTTCATGCTCTGTGATTTCATGAGATGTTTGTTGGTAACTGCACATGCTCGACAATATCACTCACTTAGTGCACATGATCACTGTATGTCCAAAATTCCCCAGCGTGTGTATACTCGCGTATAAGACAACATCTGAGTTTGAGAAGATTTTTGGACAGTTTTTGTATGTCGGTTGTATAAGACAACCTTACTTTCTTCCCCTACTTTTTTCTGCTTCTTATGGTCTTAATTTTGCATATAGCTGGCTAAAAATGGAGCCAAATGTGGCTAATCTTTCTAGTAATACCATTTTTAATTTTTATGGGACTTAAATGTTCATCAAAATCTTATTTCCCTGTATTTAAAATTCTGTTCATTCATAGGCCTACTAACATTTTAGTAGCTTTATTGCAGTCGTAAATTTGCATGTTATAGACAATCAGCACAAAAGAGGAATATGAATTTAAAATTCTAAAATTTGTATGATGTGTATAAGACAACCCCCTGGTATTTCAACGTAATTTGCTATTTGAAGCCTTGTCTTATACACGAGTATATACGGTACATAGATTTGTCGGAGACGACGTTTTGGTAACTGCGTATGCGCATTGTTTAGTTTGGAATTCTCATTCCTTAGCTACAGTTTCTTAATGTTTCCTTTTGTTTGTAGCAACCTAAAGATGTGGCGTAAAAATGGGGAAGATTTTGTAGCATGGAATATACTTTTGCATTGACAAAATGTCACTGACACCACAAAAAGACACAAGCTTAAATAAAATTATTAGTTCAATCTTTACACACTTTTTTTATACGTTTTTGTACGCATTCAGTTTGTGTTGACTGAACACAAGTAAGAGATGTGGCATATTCAGTCACAGGTTAGTGGGATTTAATTTAATTCTGTTTAAATACCAATGTCCAATGATGAGGGCATCAATTGCATTTTGCAAGATAGTTGGTTAACCAATATATGGTTGTTTCCCAGTCCCTCATCATCCTGTAAAGAATCATTTATTAATGCAAAAAAAAAATTTAACAGCAAGGAAGGTTACTTGCAGGACGGACGAAAAAACCCACTCTGAGTATTTACCACAATACTTAACCCTCTGAAGACCCTTAGATAAAGCAGCATTTGTCAGTTTAGTCTGTATACAAATGAGTTTTTGGTTTTTTTCACGAAGAGAAACAAACTTCACTGTACAACCTATGATGTGTTTATTTTTATCGTTTTTCACAGACAGACACACAAACTTTTCATGCTTCTGGCAGTATAACTTGGAATAGGCTTCACATGCATCAAGTGTGGAATTATTATTAAAAACATCATGGTTTGAGCAGGATAAGCACAGTTTGTAGGCCTATAATCGCCCTTGATAACAGCTGTACAACATAGGCTAAATTACAGTGTATGCCTGACAATAGAGTGTGTACAGTGTGTAAAGTGAGATTTTTGTTTTCACAAAGATACACGGACATCGCTGAATAACGTATCCTGGGTTTATTTTTGTCATTGTCAAAGACACAGACTTTTCACACTAATTAACATTTATATTTTTAATGCTTTATTTTTAGAAATAAAAAAATATTAAAATTTTGATAGTTAAATTTAAGGTTTTTTTGAAGTAGTCCACTTCAGACGCATTTTTTTCCAAAATGTTTTGGTAAAAATTGAAGCCTCTCTTTGTGGTGTCGGTGACAAAATGTTTTATCGCACACAGTGATCTTATGCTAGTTTTAATGTAATGCCTAAAAGAAGAGTCACTTTGTATGCAGACTGACAAATGTCAAATAAAAACATTGTATTTTGTTTCAGTTAATCGCATTAAAAGTGCTACAGGTGTGTCTATATTGATTCCTTCTGATGATAAACCCAGCAACACAATTCGTATTGAAGGAAGTCCTGAAGGTGTTCAACATGCCAAGAAAGAGTTGCTGGATATGGCTCTCAGAATGGTTTGTACAAGAATTTAACCTTCAACATTCAAGGATAAATGATTTCTTACATGCCATAAAGGGCAGTGATATCCACTTTGTTGTTTTGATATGTAACTTGTATGGTTTTGACATTTTTTGATGTAATTTGAAATGTTCTCACATTTTGTATGTTTGTATGTATAGTGTCATTTGTTGCTGTAGTTGTCTAAAAAGATTGTTACTTTATATTGCATTTTTGTAATTTTAATTAAACTCTAATTCAATTAAAACATCAAATAGCTCTAATAAATAAAATCAGTTAGGTATTTTAAATTAATATTTTAAAGTTGGCAATTAAAATTGATAAGTTAACTCAATAATTCAAATCTTCTGTAAACTATTGGCTTTAAAACATTTGAATTTCATTTATTTCTACATTTAGTCTGGTATTTTTGGTTGTAAATAATATACAATTTATGAAATTTTAAGGTCATACATATTATTGTGTTCATATTTATTTTATCAGGAAAATGAGAAGAGCAAAGACATTCTGATTGATCATCGTTATCACCGTGCTATTATTGGCTCAAAGGGTGAAAACATCAAGAGTGTTCGTGATCTCTTCAAAGATGTTCAAATCACATTTCCTAATCCAAATGAAAAAAGTGATATTGTGTCTTTGAGAGGACCAAAGCAAGATGTCGAGAAATGTTACAAGTATCTGCAGCAGATGGTAGCTGACCATGTATGTTTACCTTAAAAGTTCTTAACAAGTTCATTACAGAATTTCTCTTTATTATTATTATTTTTATTTATTGTTATTGTTATTATTATTATTATTATTGGCAGTAGGTTATGTTTTTGCCCTGTTTACAGTAACATCTCCCAATTACGAACCTCCCATTTATGAACTCTCGATTTTACGAACCGAGTTTACAGTGATGACGTCATTACGAACAATGGCTTTTAACTACAAAAACACTTTGAAATATACTTATAAGTCTTAAGAAATCATTAAAATTGTTACATCAGCCAAGAGAGAAAACATTCAAACCAATAAAGTGATGTAAAACTAAGTTTAAAGCAAGAAATATCAGCTGAAATATATTTATTTGATCTGTGCTTGTTCAGGCATATTGTACAGTAAATCTCACTTTTTGATCTTTAAGGGCGCTATTCGTATGGATACGCGATCTTTATGAAAAGAATAATAACAGTCGTTTTGGGCATTTATGGTCATGTTTCCATTCGGAAATCACTTCAAACGAATACTTCATAATAGACAGGCAGATTTAGAGCATTGAGTCAAGCAAATTGCAACAGTTTGTTTTATTGCTAATTCTGGTTCTTAAGGTTGTGCTAAACATAGAGATATAATAGGAATACTAGAGCGCTAACTGCAATGTATTCGATGTTCGAAATATGCAGAGCTGTGTGTGTGTACCATCCAAGATGGCTGCCATAGATTCAGCCAATCAAATTTCGCCTAAGCACTATCATTTTCTATGGCGCCCTCAATTTAACCAGAAAGTTCAGTACAGCTAGTTACCTGTATGTTTGAAACTCGAGCGTTGCGGTGTATGGTGTAAAGTACACGATTTTAATTTTTGTATTATTTTTGAATAAGATGCTCTACTTGGCCTCTTTTTGGCTACGATAGTTTAATAATTTATTATTATCAATACTAATTATCATTATTGAAATAATACTCAGAGGGCTTATTTATGGTAATATTATGGCCTGAAGGTGGCGCTTTCCTACGGCAGCCATCTTGGATGGTACACATACACAACTCTGCATTGCTTCGCCATCTTGTCAGCACTCTAGTTGTTTAATAGCTCTATATGCTAATATAGAGCTCGATATGCTAATCATGTTGAATAACCCTGAAAACATGGCTGTGGAGACTTTATTTGCCATAAATGAATGCTCAAGGCACAAAAGGCTGCCTTAAATCAATTTTCTCGTAATAATAAAAGCTAATTTGCGTATTTAACATAAAAAGTTATTACAGTAAATCAGTTATGCCCTAATGGCAGCAACTAATTTTCATATGCATATGATAATTCACAAATATGCTAATAATATTCCCTAATCCTTAAAACATATTTATAAACACTTTCCTTGTCATGATCGAATGTTTAGATGCAGAAATATTGCAAATACTCTATTTTCCTTTAATGGTGGAAGCTAATTTGAATATTTATGCAAATTAGGTGACTTCTGGGTTGAAACTCGCTTCCCATTTTGGATATGTCATTTAGCACAGGATTATGAACCAGAATCAGCAATAAAACAAACTGTTGCAATTTTTTTGATCTAAATCTGCCCGTCTACAATGAGCATCGGTAATTTTGGCTTCTCTAAAGTATTATTTTGTTACAGAAAACAGAAAAATCCAAGTCATATTTTGTTCCAAAATGTTCTTAGGCCTACCTGGCCCTGTACTGTAGCATAATCGGCCTAGGCCTATCCTCACCACACTCAGATGCTGAAAATTTGAATTCTCTGATTTACAAATGTTCTCATTTACGAACCCTGTTGGGACGGAGGGTACGTAATTGGAAGATGTTACTATATTTATTTGTCTGTCGGCATGTTTATTGTGAACAGCCTACAACCCATAGTTTTTATCAGAAATTCATCGAACTTGGCCACAATGTTCCTTTACCTAAGATCTAGAGCTGATTAATTTTTTAAAGGTCAGGGTCAAAGGTCAAGATCACAATCAACGAGAAACTTCTTTTTTAAATTTATTTGTCTACAGCACATAGTTTTAATCACACATTTTAAACTTGGTCACAATGTTTTATGACCAAAGATCTCTAAGTATTTTAATGTTGAAGCGTAATGGTTAAAGATCAAGGTCACAATCAACAAAAAACAATTTTTTGAAAGTTTTTATCAGAAATTTGTCAAACTTTGCCACAATGTTCCTAATACCGAAGATCTGGAAGTGAATAAATTTGGAAGGCTCAGGGTCAGAGAATGGTCCTATAGCTTGCCAGTAAGTGTAAACAAACATATGACCATTAATTTCAAAGTGATATATGTGAAAAAAGTTTAGTGTAGTGGTTAGAAGAGAGTTTTTTCTACACTACCATCCCCAGGTTCAAATCCCAAGGAGTCTTCTTTATTATTATTTTTCTTTATCGGGACAATATGCGGGGGAAATTTATACTGAGGAGAATTATGGTGTGGGTAGAGGTATGCATTCTCCAAGTGCCCCCTAGTTACAATTATTATTATTGGTGTTGTTATTATTATATCAATTATTGTGAATATATACTTCTGGCATTTTAAATTTATAAATATAGCCTATATTGATTGTTTATGTACTTTTCGAATTTTGCACAGAAGAAATAAATTACAATAAAATAAAAAAATAATAGTTGTTTTTTTTTTATCAAGATATATAAAAACCCATAATTTTTATTAATACAGGCAGCAAAAAACTTCCGCCTTGATGTTCCTGTTTACAAAAAATTTCACAAGAACATTATTGGAAAAGGAGGAAACACCATTAACAAGGTAAAATAAATAATGTTTGATTATGATAGAATAAGAAATAACAAAGTTTCATTTCAACGGAAAACACATACAAAAAGCATTGCCACTGAAGACAATAAAATACTATTTATTCTTAGCAACCTTAAAACATTTAGACTTGACAAGCAGGAACTTTGTGCGATCTATCACAGTTATATCGGACCATTATTGGAATACACTGATGGCATGTGGCATCCTTTAATCTGGAGCTCAATAGTAGTGATGATAATGATAATAATAGTAATGATAAAAACAAACGCATTGCCATAATTGGTACAAGTGATGTTGAAATTACAAAAAAAAATAATAAATAAAAATTCAATTAAAATAAGTCTAAAGTAAAATATCTGAAAAACAAAAAATGAATTCATACACAAAATTTGGAAAAATCTTAACATCAAGGAGACTCAAACTATGACTGCTAGTTATTCAAAATATGTGGAATGACATATTTTGATATGCATGCTTTTGATATGATCTTTGCTTTGACAGTGTTTGAAGAAGATTTAAGCACGGAAGCTACCAAAGTGCCGGTTAGAAAAACTCTGCAAAAACATAAGAAAAATAAATTAGACCAAAAACAATGGCTATTTCTCCTATGGAGACTCATAACCATTGCGCACTATAATATGAGCCAACCTTGTGTAGGTCAGTGCATTTCTAGTTCATAGTAATTCAGTGATCGAGAGTGAAAATTGCTGTAATTTTGCATTTCACCTAGCTGCAGCTGGTTAAAAACTTTAGAAAATGCAAATTGCATTCATATAGTTTAATTAGCAGTCTATTAATATTCTTTCAATGGTCGTCATATCCACACCCTATTCAACAAAATTTAACCAATTCTTTATTGAAACTTGAAAAACGATTCTTGAAAGTTTTATTTGGATCCATTGATAAGTTTTTTGAGATATTTATGTATGGGATGTTAGCACTTTAAGTGAACCAAATCTGGATCGTCACCAAAATTTAAAATTGTAACTTGGTTAAGCTCTCCAGAAAATTACATTCAAATCAGTTGATCAGTTTTTGGTATATCTGGTCTTGGAAATTTCCATTTGAAGGGTCCTTATATCCACATCCTGCTCCGAATTGTCACCAAAATTTAATCATATTTTTATTGGACAAACTATTATGGAAAGTTTCATTTAAATCAATTTTTAGGGTTTTTTTTGTGATATTTAGATCTGGGGGTATTAAACTTTAAATGACCTGGATTTTCATCAAAATTTACTGTCTTCTATGTATGAACTTGGTTAAAATGTCTTGACAGTTTCATTCAAATCTGTTGATTCGTTTTAAAAATATCTAGTGTGAAGTTTTTTTAGATCTGGGGGTATTAAACTTTAAATGACCTGGATTTTCATCAAAATTTACTATCTTCTATGTATGAACTTGGTTAAAATGTCTTGACAGTTTTATTCAAATTAGTTGATTCGTTTTAAAAATATCTAGTGTGAAGTTTTTCCCATTATTCCTCTTTAAATGATCCAAGCATGGAAAGACACCGAAGTGCCGGGCAGAAAATCCCTGTGCAAAGGTGTAGGGAAAAAAATTAAAACAAAAACATTGGCTTTTCCTGCTACTGCTAGGAAAAGCCAATATTAATAACGGCCATACAGGAAAGGGCATTCCATATCATCCTTGAGAACATGCCGTAGGCCTTTATGATCTTTGATTTGACTATAACATCATCATTTGAAGAAAAAAAATCGAAGAAAAATAAAGTGCTGAGTATATAAATTATTTTTTATTCATTTATGTCAAATGTCAAATCCATTATTATTTAAAAAAAATAACCATTACAATTGCATCAGTTATGCAAGATATATGCTAGGATAATAATTGTTTTCATTCAACAGAGTTCATAACCACCAAACTCTCTAAAGCTCTGTTGACACTGCCAAGGTTCAGTTACAGATACATGTATGCCCATATTATATTATCATCCCAATACAAGGACAAAACATATTCATAGTGAGGACAAAAAAAGCACACTTGTCTTATATGCTGCCGGTAACTAACTACTATGTAAAGTGTAATTATTTTCTTCCAATTTTAAAAAGATCAAAGAGGTTACTGGAACAAGAATTGAAATTCCAACAGAAAACAGTGATAGTGATGTTATTGTAGTGATTGGCACAAAGCAGAATGCTGAAAAAGCAAGAGATATGATCCTTGTCATTCAAAAAGAGTTGGTAAGTTTATTTTGATGGTAGTATTTAATACACTTTTGTGAATCAGAATGATTATACAAAGACTTGGTACTCTTAATGCTTATTTAACTACTAAAGTAAGTAAAGTTTTTAAAAAAAAAACTTTTAATAAGATTTTTATTGTTTTTGTTATAACTCAAAAAAAAGAATTCCTTCTAGTAGATAGAACATTTTTGTCTAAGAAGATGTGAATGTCACAATACAGCAACATCACTTGTGAATTGAGGAGTATACTGACAATCCACAAAGTTTTTTCCCCGATGTGTCAATTGCATGCTTTAACATGTACACAGGATGAACGGTTTAAATGAGGGCACCTCATAAATAATCAGGCAGACAAATCTTTCATTTCAGTTCACACAGAATGGTTACCATAAATTTTAACCATTCAAATTCACTCAATTTAATAGGTGAATATTGTGGAGGAGGATGTTACTATTCCTGCTAAGTACCATCAGTCATTGATTGGTGCAAAAGGAAGACTCGTTCGTCAAATAATGGAAGAATGTGGAGGGGTTTATATTCATTTTCCGAATGAAGGCTCATTAAGTGACACAGTTTCAGTCAGAGGACCTAAAGATGAAGTTTCTAAAGCCAAGGCACATCTCCTTGAACTTGCTAGTGACATGGTAGGTAGCTGTAGTTCTTCAGACTTGTACATTTGTAACTAATACAATATTACTATTACTGCTGCCACAACTGCAGCAGAAGCAATAATAATGGAAAAGATTTCTAGAACACTTTTTTACATATTGTCAATATTTTAAAGCTTTTGTAAAAAACATGTTATATCGTCATTGCGGACTTATAAAATCCGCATACGCTATAAAACTAAAAGAAAATGCATACTTTTGGAGTCCGTACTGAGCCCAAAAAATCTGCAATGAAAATATAATGTGTTAAAATTGTAAATGCAAAAAAATAAAACATTTAGCATGAAATTTGTCGCTTCAAAAACTGTAATTGCATATTCATTCATTTATCATTTTATTTCAGAATTTCATATCCGTAGTATAAAGCAATACAAAATAATAGATATAGATTGACAAAACTGTACAAAGAAAAATTATGTTATACTCAGGCTTAATCTTAAGTTATTGAAAGAGTGCAGTTAATACAGAACAAGGTTCCACTGCTGATACATTCTTGACGAATTACGTATGTACCTCATCCATAGCTAAAATCAGTGACTTTTCTTAAAGTTAAAAATAGACCTGAAATACACATCAAACAATTGGACTCATTCATTCATTAACTGTAACCGTAAGGCGTTATTATAGCAGACCTTCAACGATCTTATAGTGCCCTAAATCTGCACCACAAAGTGGAACAGTACAATGCAAGAACATTTTAAAAGATAACATTTCATGGAATATTTTTCAAACTACCTACTAATTGAATTAGCCTTTATGCAAACCATAAAACTTCTAATAATAACAGTGGTTTACTATTCATTGAAGTGCTCTATCTTCCCAAGGTCCCCGGGTCCGCTGTGCGTTGCATGTGTATTAGTTATATGCAAATGCACTGACACAGAGGTCGTAGTGCCTCAAAGGCTGGGTGTCATGAACCATGTGAGAGTCGTCACTACATTACCCCTTATTTGAAAGAGGAGCCATTACCCCGTGGAAAAGAACCAACTCAACCCATGGATTTGAGGGATGAATTATGCCTCACCGAGTAAGAAACAGGACACAGAAGACTTCCCAAGAATAAACGAAAGACTTCCCGAAAATCATAAGTTATCTTTGAAAGCTTGCGGGTACCGATCCATAAAGTCAGCCATCATTTGGGAAACTTATTGGAGTTGTTCCATCCGTATTACCTGCTGGGGTTCGCCTAAAGGTGCAAACTCAACTTCTGCATAACCAGGTAATATTTTAGACATTACGCGCTGGTTCTTGTTGGTCTATGCAACCGGCGCATTTGTACAAATCGATGTTCAAAGCATCCAACTGCGAGACATTTACGCAGGAACCATGGTACCAGGCATTACAGTAGTCACACTGGATCATGAAATAACCGGCCCAAGGCTGGTGACAGTAACAACACAGTGTGTCTGGTGAGTGATCTTCTTCTTTATCTGTGAATGAAGAACTTGGTGAAGAAAAGTTAGTTAACCATTTTGGAAGCTGCATGTCTCGACAGGGGTTCAACTTGTCATAGTTGAGGGTCATTACCTTATTTCTTATTTTCATTCTAAACAAATATAGCGTGATTACCTCAATGATAACCCCTGGACCCTTCTAAGGAGGGCACAACTTCTTACATTTACCCTTCGGAGAACTGTGGTCAGGCACGTATACCTTATCCCCTATCCCAGAATACGGGGATCGTAATTTTGTCTACCCTGTCTTGCTACCTCATGAGCATATCGAATGGAGATTATCAGCTCTGAAATATAGGTCTCTATTTCCGCGGCTTTCTCCAGTCTCCCATCGCCAAAAAGTAGATCAGCAGGAAGGCTAACCTCGCAACCCAGCATCAGCATGTTTGGTGTGAAACCTGTGGAACAATTAATGGTAGAACATAAAGCTCCAACGAAGAACTTTACAGCATCATGCTGCATTGGTCCATGGCACCCGACTTTTGGAAAAAACCCGGGTTATAAATCCTGCTGGTTTGTTGAATAGCGATGGGTTCTTAAATTATTTATTGCCAGTGAAGCCCATGAGATGAAGTGAGTGATTGTAATGGGTTTCTTGTTTACATTCCGACGGCTATATGTTTGCTGGCCAGGATTTCCTTGTTAACTCCCAATAGACGTTCTTAAAACCAATTAAAGTTAAGTTTATGGAGCTGCTGACAGCTTCCTCTGGACCATTGACAGCTCACTCTCAACCATCAGACAGCTCACTATGGACCGTTTCTGCTAACGGGAACTTTTGCCTCATGATCCATTAACATTCTGTTGAAGCGTTCACTTCCCCTCAGTGGCGGCGCCAGTGGGAGACAACTGGACAGAGCTCGTCGGGCAGTCAGACCATAAAACATAAAAATAGGCCCACACCAAGCCAACACATGTCTGTCACAGTCTGAGTGCCATTTCCGACCATCTAGAGGTTGCTTTTCTTTTTAAAAAATCTCATTTGGAAGGGGGACCCCCCTTAAGCCCCTTATCAAGTCCCCCTGTTGGACAACTTAGCGCCCCCCCTCCCCATTAAATATATCCTAGAGCCGCCACAGCTTGCTTGTTGGGGGATGGTCGGTAGCTAGTGGTATGAGTCTTGTGGATCTGTAAAACTTTACGAAGAAATATGAACAGTTCACTTTCTAAAATTTCTCCCCTGATTAGAGTGCAACTGAAAAGGGACCCCGAACCAAGAGAAGAAATCCCTTACCTCTGGTCAGGAGACTTGGGATCTCTGCAATCAGAAATCGACCTCTACCAGAAGGCGACAAACTGGTTTAGAACACTGACACAAGTATACTTCATATCAAGGGTCAACTTCATGTGCAATTACCAACTGCGCGCGTGTCATGACGTGCGTGTGCGTTTATTTTTAAAATCTCAGATCACTTTTTAACCAATTTAAAACACGTTTCAGGCCAATTTGGGCATTTCAAAATTTTCTTTCTGAGGAAAACCATTGGATCCTGCGTATCCCTAAAATTTGTTGATGACGAATTTTAATAAAGTTACTTATAGTGATTATTATAGCAGAAATAGAAGAAAAGATTGAACTACAGTAGAACCCCTATTCAGGGGACACTAAACAAAAACATGAAATTGTCCCCTTAATAGGGGTATTTGGCATGTTTTCATACAACAATAACATACATTCTGTATAATTTTATTTTTATTGACATAAGGAATCAGCTAAGTAGAATTAGAACTAATTAATAGCAACAATTTGCAATGCATATACAATTATTTTTATAATAGCGGGAACGGTATGGTTTCCCAACCTCGAGGTCAGAGTTGCAGTCCCTCGCAGTACTGTACATTTTGCTTGTGTCCTTGAGCAAGGCACTTTATCTGCATTGCTTCTCCTGTAATCACCTCACTTGTTGGACTCGTAGGTAGACCATACGGGCTTGTATGTATGGTACATGTTATTCCCTCCGAATTTCATCAAACCATCACTGCATGGGTTCTTGCCACCAGGAGTATAAATTTGTACCTGGTGGGTTTGCCTACCCCTGCAATGTTTACCAGTAGCAACACTCAAAACATGAGGACCCAATGACCAGGGGAAAAGGAGCGACTCCTTTCTACAAAGAAATGGCGCTGTATAAATGATAAAAATAATAAAATAATAATAATAAAATGTTCTCAATATTATTGCATGATGCAGTGTTAATGACCATGGAAATATTCCTTTTTTTATTTAAAATATTGCGCTTTCTATTGAATGAATGCAGCATGAATAGAGTAACAACTTTAAATTAATGGTGCATGTTATGGTATCTATTATAATCCTATATAGAATGTATATGAAAAACAAGGGAAAATAAATCCCCAGAGTCAAAATTGACAAGCTTGGCTTCTATGAGGTCACACAGTATTTAGTAGCCTATACCAATGTTTATTCTAAGGATTCAGTGGAGAAAATTCTGGTTTATTGCTCAAATGGTATTAAAATATGAATTTGAATGAATTTTTCTTACTTTGAGACTGCTGTAGTTGTGATACAGTGATAAAAAAAAATAAATTAAGTGTCCCCTTAATAGGGGTTATTTGACAATTTGGCACACTCAGAAAGTGTCCCCATCCCCTTAATAGGGGCTGTCTCTTATACACATCTAGATGTGTATAAGAGACAGACTGTACATTTTGCTTGTGTCCTTGAGCAAG